ATGCCTCTTGGGAGACACTACAAAGTGAAATAACTGGGCTTGAACACCTCACTGACACTGCGACTGTTGGCCTCACAGTAGAGGTGACTAACAGACAAGCGAGGTATCCAGCATGGAAACACTGCACACAGGTGATTCATGTCTCACGTGGGACAAAGGGAGACAGTGAAAGATTTCATCAGGATACACAAAATGGCACAATTTGAAATTCATAAATTGTTTATTTCTGGGATTTTCCATTTAATAGTTTTGAACTGTGGTTGACAGAGGATAACTGAAACTGCAGGAAGAGAAACGTCAGATAACGAGGAGGTAGTACTGTAAACGCAACTGTAGACTGAGGAAGTAAGGACCAGGCACATCCCTATGGGTAGGTGGGAGGGGCCCATGGGGGCATACCAGCAGGTGAGGTGCTGCAAGCTGAGCCACGGGCGGCAGAGGGGTCCTGATGGCTGGTGTGCTCAACAGGGTAGGCAGAGTGGCCAACTGGATGTGCTTATCTGGATGGCAGCCAGACTGCAAGTGGGAGCCCAGTCTGAGCCGAGATTCTAAGAGCAGAACAGCTAGGACATAACCACACAACAGCCGGTACTGAGGGCCCGGCAAGCTCCAAACACAGATGGACCATCCTGAGCTTGAAGCCTTGCTGGCGAAGGCCCTACCAGTATGTACCCATGTCAGCGATTGCCAGAGATGGACCTGGAAGTGACAAGTCATGCAGGGTCCTGAGCTGGTGGAAAGGGGTGAGGGGAGGGAGGGTGCACACAGAAAGAGCCATCCAGCTGCGCAGGAAGCAGCAGGGACATGGAGATCATAGAGACTGGACGGAGGGCAGCAGGGGCAGGAGACCTGCTCCAGGAGATGTGGGTCCAGTCCTCTCTCTGGGTCAGTTATATGAGCAGCCAGGCTTCTCGCTTGGAGTGGGACTGCCAAAGCGCGCACCAGGCAGCCTGCACCACAAAGATTCCAGCACACTGTAGGATAGTTTCAGTTCCCCGGGGCGGGGGGGGGGGGGGAGCAGTACCGTCAAGCCCAAGCCCTGCAAACACAAATCAGTTCCAGTGGCTGTGTCTGTCTCAAAGCCACCCCTGTGTGAAGCTGGCTGGGCGGGGGGAGCGCTGCTGCAACATGACCTTGCTGCTTCTCACTTCTGGTGGGCAGATAACTGCNGTGGGTCCAGTCCTCTCTCTGGGTCAGTTATATGAGCAGCCAGGCTTCTCGCTTGGAGTGGGACTGCCAAAGCGCGCACCAGGCAGCCTGCACCATTCCAGCACACTGTAGGATAGTTTCAGTTCCCCGGGGCGGGGGGGGGGGGGCAGCAGTACCGTCATCTGCAAGCCAGACACCTGCAAACACCAATCAGTTCCACTGGCTGTGTTCCTCTCAAAGCCACCCCTGTGTGAAGCTGGCTGGGCGGGGGGAGCGCTGCTGCAACATGACCTTGCTGCTTCTCACTTCTGGTGGGCAGATAACTGCAGTTGTTTGAGATGGGGGCTAAGGTAGCATTCACTGGCCAGGGAACAGCTCCATGGCCGGCACCTGCCTGCAGGAGCCCCAGGTTCCACTCAGCACCACACACACATAACAGTGTGCATTTCTTTTTTTATCTTATGTGGATTCTTTTCCAAATAGCGACGTCTAGGTTGTTTATACATAGAGTCATTAGGTACTTCTTGTAGTCTGAGCACAGAAGCTGCCGTCCCTGCCTTTGAGCTCAAAGGGCACTGTCACAGAGAAGGAAGGCAGAGGCACCCTACAGGCTGTTCAGGGCAGTGCTGGGAGCACCTGAGCACCCAACAGGCCACAGGCAGGGTGGGGCTGCTGCTTTTCATACCTGGATCCACCACCACTGCTGGCTGCCCCTTCCCCTGGGTCCCTCATCCTTGGAGCTCCCAGGCAAAAGATGAAGCCATTTGTATCTGCAGCTTTCCCCGCTGGGAACAAGGATTCCGACCTCAGCGTCGATAGGGAATTCACTATGTCACAAAGCTAACAGCTCATAAGAGGCGCTTCCCTCCCCAGCATCGTGTCTCTGCCCAGCCCCAAGAGCTCTGGGGGTGGGAAGAAGCGCCTCCTTTCCCCCGGGAGTCCCAGCATCCAGCCTCAATGGCGGGATCTCCTGTTTCACAGAGCCTTGGCAGGTCTCTCGAGGTTCAGCTCCAAAGTCACCCCTTTAAGAGGGCTTCTCAAATGCCCTCTCTCCAGTCACCACCACCCCCTCCCTGCTGGCTTCTGGGTCTCGCCCCTCCCTGTAGTCAGAAGTGGTCCCTCCATTTGCAAGTGGCTGACAGGGTAGCCAGGTCCTGCTTGTCTTCCAGCATCTACCCCAAACTCACCAGCAGCTGCCCTATGACCAGGGCACAGGTGCCATGCCACCCCTAAAGTGCATGGTCCCTGAGGATACTGACCCTGCCTGACAGGCAAGGAACAGCAGAGGGCGCTCCCAGGGAGGACACCAGCCCCCCACAGCCGCACCGTGGTGCTGCGTAGTAAGACTGCTCAGGTTGGAGGGTACCTAAAGTCAGGCTGCCCAGGGGCCAGTGCTCACAGAAAATGAGGGGAACAAAAAGACCCTCCCAGCACGGTGCCCTGTGCAAGAAAGAAAGAAGCAGGCTGGAACCTCCCACCCAGCACCTCCTCCACCTGTCCTGGCTCGATCATCCCAAGATGATCCAAGCCTGCAGCAAACACTCAGAAGCAGGGAGCCTGGCTGAGGAGGACGAGGTCTTACCTGGCTCTCAGCAACCCCTCTTACTGTCCAGTGATGAGGGCGGGTACCAGCTCTTGGTGCCTCTACCCACAGGCACAGAGCTGGCCTCTGGGGAGGAGATGTAAGCTAAGAGAAGGTGCGCAGAGGGCTTTGGAAAGCGAGGGGCGGGGTGGGGGGAGGCCTGAGAAGGCAGTGCCACCTGCCTGCATGGTGGGCATGGCCACTCTCCTTTGTGTGTGAAGAGCCACAGCAGCTGTGGTGCCCCACCAGGGCTCTAATCCCCAGGCCCCAGCACTGGGAAGGCAGAGGCAGTGGGAGTCTTCCTGCCTGGGCTCAGGCCCCCACCCCACCCCACAGCCAGGTTCCCCCAGTAATGCGATAATTGGGTGGGATTTTCGCTAAGAGAGAGGGAAAGTCCAGAGTACGGAGAGCCAGCTCCCCTCCCTGCCTCATTCTGGAATTCTTCCCTGTGAGGGTGGGGGGCATGCAGTGACTCAGAGGAGGGGAGTGGATGGGCCGGGCATGCTTAGACTGAACTAGATCTCAACAGTGGTATGGAGGAAAAGGAACTTTTGTTAAGAGATAGCTCTCACTTTGAATTCAGGAAGGGGCTCTTGATGGTCACCAAGTGACCCCTGGGGCCAAAATCCGTAGGACCATGGCATTTTCAAACCCACTGGCTCCCATGCAGGTAGGAAACCAAGGTAGAGAACGGGGGGGGGGGGGAGTGGCACCCTGTGAGGTGGGACCTGCCTTGGTTCTCCATCCTGTGCTAAATCTAGAGGGACTACCAAGCCCACTCCTGCCCTGAGAACCAATCATGTGCCAGGCCACGACCTTCTGGGGACCCCCATACAACATTCTGCAAGCAACACAGTGAGGAAAGGCTCAAGGTCCAGGGTTCTGGGGAGCAACCACAGCACTAAGGAGCCAGAAACTGTCCTCTCTGGCTGCAGTTCTGCCCTTGATGGCAAACCCTTGAGCTTCTCTCTCTCAGTTCAAAAGGCTGATAAGAATTCTGCCAAGTTGAGTCACAACATTGCTATGATGAGGACCAGTGCTGGTAGAGAGGCCCCGCTTAACCGTCATGCTTTCAGGTGCCCCAGGGGAAGCTGAGGACACATCAAGACTTGGATTTTCCCCTTCACAAATCACCAAACTCCCCAGGCCCTTCCTGGGCTACTCTGAGCACGCAAACAAACTTGGCACTGAGGAGCAGTCGGGTCTGTGTGTGACCTAGGGCACTTCACGTTCCCTTTCCATCAGCAAAACTACCTAAATTGTCAAGAAGTCCCTCTGCTGGAGAGGTTACAGCCCTGAGCAGGCAGGATGGTCCCAGGGAGCAACGGGCTGTACCTTACCCCACTCTATCCCAGAGGCTGCTCTGTGGGAGAAAGTGGAAGCGTCAACCGCTGACCCCCAAACAGAGCCCAACTTCCTAAGGGTGACCTGCAGATGCTGGGCTGGTCCTTGGTCACCCAGCAACCCCCCCAACTCCCGTGGTCACTGCTCAGGAGATGAGGCTGCAGGCACAGCTGCTAGGCTCAAGCCAAGGGATCCACCCCTGACAAACATTTCCCTAGGCAAGGTGGTGGTTGAGGGAGCAGCCCGACCACTGTGAAGGCAAGGGTGAGGCAGAGTAGGAACGAATAGGGGACTGTGTGTCCCACCATAAGCAAAAGGCGCGCCTGGCTGGAAACCCAGGAAGCAGCCCAGGAAGCAGCCCAGGAATCCCGAGGGGCGTGGTACAGGTGCTCCCTGAGGTCGCCTAGGGACTACATCCTACCGGATCCCGGCGGGAGCAGCTTTGGTCCTCAAGGCCAGCTTACATACACTCCAATACCCCACGTCCACCTGGATACCCCAGAACTCTCCACTCCTGCGTGCAACTGCACACCCTTAGCACCCCTAGTGCCCGCGCACATCTGAACACCTTGTGCTACTCATTCGGACACTCCTGCACCCCGCATACACCCTCAGCACCCCAGTACCCCAAGCGCTCCCACTCACCCCAGCATCCCATGCACCTACGGCCGCAGGAGGGGCCAGCACCACAAGGCTCTAACTCCTAGGGCCCCGCCCGCCCCCTGCCCGCCCCGCCCCAGCCCCAGCCCCAGCCCCGGCGGGCGCCCCCTGCGGCGCTGCCCCGCCCCCGCCGCCCCGCGCCGCCCCGGGCCTCGGCCCGCCGCCCGGCCGTCTGCCCACCTGGCGCAGCGCCGCCCTCGGAGCCCGCGCACCGGTGCACACCCGTGCACACCCGTGCACCCCGCGCACCCCGCGACCACAGGAGGGCCGAGTGCCGCAGCTTCTCCTGCTCCACGGGCCCGGCACACCCCTGCGCTCGCGCTCTCGGGGCGGACTCCTGGCCCTCAGGTCCTCAGCCTGGCAATGGCTCCACTCGGATACTTCTTAGTGCTCTGCAGCCTGGAGCAGGCGCTGGGCAGCTACCCGATCTGGTGGTGAGTGAGCTCCTCGCGTTCTCCCCGGCCCGGGTGCCGCCCCAGAGCAGCCGTCCCTTCGGGCATAGCCCCTGAAGACACTCCGCGAGCGGAGCGGGTTGTCTTCCTCTTCTCCACTGGGACCTGTTCAGGCAGCAGATAGCGAGGTTCTGGAGGCAATTACCGCCCCATCTGGGTAGAGGGAACGGAGAAGGTTCCAGCTGTCCCCAGCATCGGCGTCGGGCATCGGACAGAGGTGGAAAGAGGGTCAGTTTAGATAGCACTAGCCTAGGCGAGGGGCGAGGGAAGAGGGCAAGCGAGAAGCAGCGCTTCTCCAGAGACTCTTTTAGGGTCTCTCTCTCTCTCTCTCTCTCTCTCTCTCTCTCTCTCTCTCTCTCTCTCTCACACACACACACACACACACACACACACACACACACACACACACACACTTTAAAACAAAGTCAGAGAGACAAGACTGAACAGCTCGGAGCCGTGTAGTTACGTAAAGACAGCCCGGACCCGGCGGGGAGTGGCGCGGAGCGGGCGGCGGGCGCACTGGAGCCAGCTCTGAGCCTTGCGCGCCGCCCGGCCGTTGCAGATGTGGGGGTCCCCAGGGACACTCTCTGTGAGCCCCCTGCCCGCTGCCTGCATCTGCCTAGCAAGGAAGGGCTGCTGGAGAGAGGGATAAAGCAATGGATTTGAGAGCGAGGGGGAGGCTCCAGGACTCGCATCGGAGAGGAGCGTGCTGTCTGATCCATTCCACACAAGGCACGCTACTTGCGAGACCCTCCTCAACTTGGGGGTGGAAGTACAGATAAACCAAAAGCAAGGTCTGCGTTCTCCTGTCTCCAGTCTCCGCTGCACCTACCCTGAAGGGAGGGAGAATAAGGGCGACCCTTCCCCACGGGTAATTCCTCAGAGCACCCCACCATCGTGCAAGGGTCATCCCAGCTCCGACGCGGGGACGCTTTCAGATGCCCAGATGTGAGGAACACAAGTGGGAGGAATGCGGGCGCCAAGGGGCTGGGAAGCGCCGCTGATGGGGACCTAGTTGGACAGAAGCCTCCCCGCAAACATGCACACCCTCCCCTCCCACCCAGGAACAACTCTCCGACGGCTTGCCTAGAATTATAATAATTACACCGAAGGGAAGCGGGGAGACCGAGCGAGCCGAAGTACATCTAATCCGATAATAATTTTTCTCTTCGAGATGGTTCAAGAGAGGAGCCAGGGAGCCTGAGGTGGGGACGCGGGGCCAGGCGCAGCAGTGCGGGGAGGGTGGGTGGGCAGCTAGGGTTGCTGAAGCCCCGCGGGCTGCTCGCTCCTGCGCCAGGCTGCAGGGCAGCGGACACGAGATCCGCTTCAGACATCCCCGCATGCCCCGCGTCCCCGAGTCGCGGCGTGGCACCTGAGGCGCTGGGTGGCCTCCCCGGGCGCCGGCTGAGGCGGCGCGCGCCCCTGGGCGCAGGGACACTGACGCGCGTCCCGCCGGCTGTGGGGAGCCAGGGGCAGCGCGTCCAGGAGAGCCCCGCGGGCTGCCCGCTCCTGCGCCAGGCTTCTAATTAGAACCCGCCGCCGCCGCATTCCTGCGCGCAAGAGGAAGCGCTTCGCCCCCGCGCTCCTCCCATGGAGATGGGCTTCGTCGCCAGCCTCTGGGCTGCCCTGCGACCTGGAATCCTTGCCCCGGCCGTCCTGGGGGTCCCTAGCCTTGCCCACCCACCCCAATACAGATTCATAACCCTTCTCACCTGGGCTGTATGAATTCCATCCCAGATGGACTCTCAGATACACTCAGTCGCACCCTGGCATTCTTCAGGTGAGCCAGGAGGGATGCAGCCTTCCCCACCCCCCATCAAGAGACTTGGGCAGCCCTTTTGCCCCAGGAGGCCGGGGGTGGCATGGAAGTCCGTCCCCTATGATAGGGGTGGGTGGGAGGGCCACCTTTCCACCGGCCCACACTCCCACTTTGTTCTCAGTGGGATTCTCACACTTAGCAATTCTGCTTCCTGAGAAGAGGTTCCCCGCCCCCCTTGTGGAGGGTGACAAGATAGAGTCCTCCTCCTGCCTCCTTATCCATCCCCGCCCCACCCGCAGTTGGGCAAGAGCACACAGAGAGAAGGGCTCCAAAAGTCAGTGCCTCAGTGACTTGGCCAGCCACAGTGCAGTGTCAGTGCCTCAGTGACCACGGCCAGGCGGGTGCAGCCAGGTGCAGCTGCTTCAGGAAGCTTCTCTTTCATCTGCACCCTCTACCTGCCCAAGCTTCCAGTGCTTGGTCTTTCCTGCTCCCACTCTGGGCCAGGCGGATCATTTCCCAGGGAGAGGAAGGGCCATCTTGGCCATTGTTGGGGGTGCTGGTGGTGAGCAAGCAGAGAAAGTGCTTAGGGGGCTTTCTTTATGACTTCTCACCTTCACCCTCAGCCTCCCTGATTGGCTGTTTAGTTTCACCTTCCCTCCCTAAAACAAAGCAGCTAGCCCCACCGCTCTCCTCCCTGCCCCAGCACCACACATAGAATGTGCATGACTGGGACCTCCTCACCTGGATAAGCCCAGCCAGGAAGCAGCTCACATCAGGAGCGATTAGGCTTTGATGCTGGTGTGACTCTTGGAGGAGGGGAGCAGGGAGGTGTCACTGCAGCCATTGCTGTAGGCAGCCCTGTGGGAATGTGAAGGGCTGCCCACCCCCAGACCTGCTCAGTGGGGCTGTGCCTTCAACCCTTCATGTGGTGCTCTGGGGTCCCAAGGCAGAGTAGGAGTGAGCCCAGAGAAACTAGCCATCCTAAGCAAGACTAGAGCAGTCCAGAGCTGGGTGGAACTCCAAGAAGGTCCATCCTGGGATCTTCAAGTGACAGAGGGGAGCCAGGTGAAGGGACCAGACCAAGGCATGGCCCTACAGGAACACACACTGCAGGGAGGTATGTCTCTTGCTCCCTCCACTGGCCTATTCAGTTCTCTTTTCATGGAAGTATAATTCATCAAAAGAGCCCACATATCAGGTGAGGTGGCTAAGAGGACATGGAGGACAGTATCCATAGGTACTGATTGATCTGAGATGTACTGTGAGCTCCTCCTCCTTCCCATGTCTGGGCTGATGGCATCTCATCATGTCCTCAGCAGGCCCCTGGAGGCCAGCCTCTCCTCCCCAACCTCAGCAGCTACTGGCCCTCTTCCAAGTTCCTGTGCTTCCCTCACTAGGCTGCACTCCTGCCCAGCCACCTCTGACCTCCCTTCACAGTTCTCACCCACTGTCCCTCCCTTGGGCCCTATGCCCTTACTGTCACTTGGATTTCCCATCTGATTTGGCCACTGCCCACTGCCTGCAGAGCAGGGTTAGCCCATGCCCTGGCCCCTCTCTCCCAGCAGGGCCCCTCTCTTGCTGCTTGGTCCCTCTGTGCCTGCTGGACATGAGCTCCTAAGCACAGAGGCCATGCTATAGAGCAGTATGAGGCCAGTGTCCAGCCTTCTCCCTGCTCCTTGGTGGCTCAGATTTAGACAACTCCCCCTCTGAGGGACTCCCTGGTGCCCTCAGAGCCTGATGCCCATATCACAGTGACAGTAACACTTCATGAGTGTAGGACCATACCTGAATCCCTCTGCTCAGTGTCAGCCCTCTGTGGCCTCTTGCCTCCTCTTTGACCCCAACCCCCACATGCTGGCCCCACCAACACAGATGACCTGGGGTGGAGCACTCAGCCCTTCCTCCCAGCCTAGCTCCACCTGGAGGTGCATGGTCATCAGTGGTCCCATTGCTTGTGGGGACCAAGCATCCCAGTGGAATCAGGGTTGGTGATGGAGAGTGTACAGAGAGTGGTTGGGACCCTAGGGAGGGGTGGGATAGAGAGAAGTTTACAGATGAGATTCATAAGCTCGTGTGATGAGAGGCACGTGGCCAGCAGTGCAGAGCAGATGAGATCAAGAGGCCAGCTGGGCAGGTACTGGTGACAACAGGGACCCAGGGAAGGCTGAGCAAGGTGTCTGGCCACCTCCCCACCGCAGAGCTGGCCTGCTCCTTTGAGCCTGCCCAGCAGGATAGCCTCCCCCACCCCATCTCTCTGTCTTTTGGGCCCCTTTCTGCACCTCTAGCTGGCCAGATCAGTACTTAGCATACAGAACTTAAAAAGCCAGAGAAACCAACATGCTAGATGAATCCTAGGCCTGTGCTGGGAATCTCAGGGAACTGTGGTGAGGATTTCTTTCTGGAACCGACAAAAATCAAACTTTTTACAAGGGGCACAATCAGAAATGGCTTCAGGAGGAGAATCTGTGGCCAGAATCATTGTGGCACACAGGACCAGGACCAGAACCCACACACTAGTTCATGGCAAGCCCCTTCCTGAGCACAGAGCTCCTGCCTCAGCTCACTTGTCCCACCTGGGCTGCAGTGCCTGGGAGTCTGCCTAGGGCTGCATCTCCCAGCCTGCTGCTCCGTTTCTTCAGACCTTGTGCCTTTTTACCCTGTTCAAATGATGCTTATTTGCATAAGCCTTCTAGCCCCTTTGTAATCAGCCGGATGGATGAGGTGATGGATGGGTAGTACAGTCACATTGAATGCAATCTCAGGGGACCGCCAATGGCCTGGTGGACACTTCTTCCAGAGTCTCTTGGACAAACCCCCAGCCTAGGCAGATGGAAAATTCCAGCCCCCTGGCAGCTCTGCCTCCCTTCTCATGGTGTGACTCAGGAAGGAGGAAGCAGAGCTCAGATTTGTTACCTGTATCCAGAAAACATGGCCGGCACTTCTCGAGGTATCATTCGCCCACCAGAGCCTGTCTGTGCACAGCTGGTCAGTTGTTAGGAAGAAATAGAAACAGAAATTGGAAGAAGAGTTCCCAGTGCTGTCACAGCTGTGTCACATGCTGCAGTGTTCCATGCCCTTTACCAGAGTGACTGGTGTCTGCAGAGCACCTCCACACCTGCTGGCCTGTCTGGACCACCTCCAGAAGGGAGGGTCTTCCACACACACTGCTGCCCCTGCCCCTGTCCTTGGAGGTTTACATATGCCCCTGGTGAGAGAAGTTAAA